CATGGGCAGAATCACATCTGCATTCTTTGGCTAGCCTTCTGCACCTTCATGAACAAGTCGCGTAGAACTCGGGTCTATGACCTCAAAGGGCGGTGCTATCAGCCTGCACTGCAGCTCGAAGCCTCCGCCTTTCGCTGTCGGTGGTTTGGTGAGCACCAGGGCACGTTTATGGCGCTCGTCGCGTCGAGTAGGTGGGTTATGGTGAACCTTTCTCCCATGGACCGAGATCCCTCTTCTGACCATCCGGGTAACATGGGCTCTCTACCGGTTACGGCTAACATCGCTGAGACCCACCCTGGCCCTTACCGATCACCGCAATCTCACTTTCCCAGCGAAGGCTGAGACAGGCAAGGTAGGTCGATGGGCTCTGTTCCTCCAGCAGCAGTACGACTTAAAGTTCAGTTCCATCCCGGGAGACAACAACTACGTCGACGATGCCCTGTCTAGGCTCCAGGACGACGAGGACCATGATCGGGATCTCGATGCTACGCACATCGGTAATCGACCGTTTGCAGTCCACTTCGCCGAGGTCAGCCAGAACCTATTCCAGCTACCGTCACGTAACGAGGTCCTTGTGAAGGACGACGACATCCCCGTGGATGAGTTGCAAAACCTCGAGAGAAGACGGCCTAAGAACGGTGCATAGACCACCCAACTCGCTACATCGTAGCTAGAGCAACGTCGTTGAAGATGTCTGCGGTAACGCGCAACCTGTTTGCAGAAAGTGTAGTAAAAACGTTGGGGATGCCGGAACAGAGTTCAGAGGTGACTTCCACGACTACGTAACTTCCGTGCTGAAGGTCAAGCACATCAACGCCGCACTGGACCTACTTCGACAGAATGGACTAAACGAATGGAATCACCGCCCCCTAGAGAAGGCCCCCCCCCTGGCGACATTGTCTCTACCACGGCATTTCTATTGTCACCGTCCTTTGTTCCCGAGCAGACTAGCCAAGTCTTTCAGCGCGTCCAAACCCAATAGCACGAAGAACGGCCCATCTACGCAAACGAACCTGACCGTCGCGGTTTGGTCTCTCACCGTTACGTCAATCGGTTCAGCCCTCCTTGCGGTGTCTGCGCCCCCAATCCCGCGAAGGTGTGGTCTATGCACACAAGGACATCCTTGTGTACCTCGTCGGTTAGCTGTACCGGAGATTACGTGCTGTGCTCGTGTCGATTATTGAGCACACTGCTCCCGTGTCCAACCACGACAAGCACCGGGAGGATGTCCACTCCACAGCTGGGGCTGGGGCTTATCTCCTTCACGCACTCAAAGCTCTCACAACGACTACAGCCCTGCACCTACCGGTTCAACGACCAGTCTCATTTCCACAGTTTCCAAGAACCGTTAGCTACGCCCCCGTTTGCTCCTGAGATTCGGGCTTGTATATTTGCTCCAATTTGGACAGTCGCCTTTCCAATGACCAAGTTGGCCGCACAGCTATTTATGCTGTCATGACTGGTGCGGGCTTATCGTCTCTACGCGCGGTTAGAGGCTTGAGGGTGTACAGGGCGTGAATAAGCTCCAGTGGCCCGTCGTACGTCAGCCTTTTCGCGTCGCACCTGGTGCTGGTAGGGAGGCATCGCAACACGGCGCGGCTCTTACAAAACGGGAACTCCTCGTCCCTAACGTCCTTATACAACCTCGCAAATAATCTCGAGCTGCTTCGTCACGCGGTGGTCTATGTATGACGAGAACTGGCTGCGCGCTAAGATGTGGGCGGTCATCTCTGGAGGCGCGATGAGCCGTGTCATTGGGCCTCGTCTCACAGAACGACCATCTGTCAGGTACGAATGCTTTCCACCACTGCTCGTATCGGGTGCTAAAACTACCCAGGTCATCCACCAGCGGGTTGACAACAGGGGTAGTAGCCATCGTGTGTGTCAGTGGGTCTGGGTCTGGAGAATAATTTCAAGGTGTCAGTGGGTCTGAAGGTTGTCGGGGGCCGCAACCTAGCAGCACGTGCTAAGCTCGTGCTCAGTTGTTTGTGACGGCTCAACAGCCCGCAGATCGAGTTGTCTGCAGATTGGTTCGTCGGGGGTCTGGCGTTGACTGAGTTGTGGAAAGGAGGGGGAGTTTAAAAAAAAACAAACGCATTACGTAGGGAATGAAATGCGTGGTTCCATTTGACGGACCCGCGTGGGCGAAGATGTTGCCCCTGGCGGCAATGGCACCAGAGCCGCCCGCAGCCCCGGTGCCGGCGCCGCGTACGCCGCGCGTTGCGCCAATACCACTTGTTCGTCGTGCACACCCGCGTCCTATGCGTGCAGTTTCGATGGAACCGGAGAGTCGTCCGATGGTGCCGCTAACCAATGCTTGCTCGCTGCCTTCGTTGG